TTCTTTGAGTTCCATTTGCTCTCCTTTTTCCTATTTACAAGGTTGAACACAGGTCATTAAGACCTTAATTCTGGTCTATGTGGACAGTTAATGCTACAAATTATCATCTAATTACTGCTTTAATGACAATATGCAATTTTTGAAATGTCATGTTTTCATTTTAATACAGTTCAAAATACTTTCCAATTTAACTTTTGATTCCTTTTTAAACTTGTGGATTATTTAGATGTATGTTACTTATTTTCCAAATATTTGCAGATTTTCCAGAGAACATTCTTTTGTCGATTTTTAATTTCATTTCATTGTAGTCAAAGATCATACTTTGTATGACTTCAATTCTTTTAAATATATTAAGACTTGTTCTAGGGTCCAGAATATTGTTTTTCTTGGTAAATATTTCATGTGCACTTGAGAGGAATGTACATTTTGCTGATGTTGGGTTGAATGCATTAATGTTAGTCACATCAAGTTGATTTAGTGTTAAGTGTGCTGTATCCTTGCTGATTTTCTATTTGTTCTATCAGTTACTGAGAGAGGATATTGAAATCTTTAACTATAATCGTGGATTTTTTCATTTCTCCTTGCAATTCTACCAGCTTTTGCTTCTTATATTTTGAAATTTTATTGGGTGCATAAGCATTTAGAATTATGTTCTCCTGATAAACTGATTCCTTTATTGCCTTGAAATAACTTTTTATTGCCAATATATTCTTTGCTCTGAAACTCACTTTATCTCATATTAATATAGCCACTTCAGCTTTCTTTTGATTACCTTCACTTTAGTGTATATTATCCCATCCTCTTATTTCAATCAATTTTGTTTTTATATTTAAAGTGTATTTCTTGGCCAGGCGTGGCGGCTCACGCCTGTAATCCCAGCACTTTGGGAGGCCAAGGCAGGCGGATCACTTGTGGTCAGTAGTTCGAGACCAGCCTGGCCAACATGGGGAAACCCCATCTCTACTAAAAATAGAAAAATTAGCTGGGCATGGTGACAGGCGCCTGTAATCCCAGCTACTCAGGAGGCTGAGGCTGGAGAATCACTTGAACCCAGGAGGTGGAGGTTGCAGCGAGCCGAGATCGTACCACTGCTCTCCAGCCTAGGTGACAAGAGCAAGACTCCATCTCAAAAAAAAAGTGTATTTCCTGTAGGTGACATATATTTAAAAGTTGTGCTTTGTTTTGTTTTCAGTCTTACTATCTCTGCCTTTTAATTGGTCATTTATATTTAACATAGTTATTGATATGGTTAGATTTAAATTTAGCATCTTGTTAACGATCTTCTGTTTGTCCCATTTGTTATTTTTCCTTTTTTTCTGCTTTCTTTTGAATTAATTGAATTTTTATGATTATATTTATCTCCCTTTTTGCTTATTCGCTAGAAATATATTTATTTGTTGCTTAAACTCTATAGTGCACCTATTTAACTTGTCACATTCCACCTTTAAGACATATAGTAGAATATAACACACAGCTACTCAATTTTTTATTTTATTCTGTATTATATTTCATTTTATGGGTATACCAAAGTATGTTTAGCCCATTCATTATGATGGAATTTAGGCTGATTTCATATTTTACTCTTATAAACAATGCCAGATGAACATCCTTGTATATATTTCTTTACTTTTGCAAATATATCCATAAGATGAATTCACAGAAGTGCAGTTCCTCAGTTAGGTATTTTTCTGGTATTCAAATCCTCTTTTACACTTTAGCAACTCACATTGCTTTATGAATACTAACTAATATTTTAAAGATATTAATGTTTTTAAAATAAGTTCCAAACTCATTGTGGCATAATTAACCATAGATAATGTCATTTGTTTGATTAGAGTATTTCATTTTTGAATTGTTTCCTTGTTTTTCAGCTTTGCAGGCAATAATTACTTTAGAGTATGTATTAACAGATGAAGAATCAGAAGATAATGATGTAATTGCAGAGAGAGGTTCATCTATCATGCTTCTAAGTTTAGCTGCCCAGTTTGCTCTAGAGGTAATTCATATGTATTCATCTAGTAGATTTTTACCCCTTTTCCTTTTTGAAAGACAATTAATAGAATCATTATCAGTTAGACAGAGAAGAGACCTTTACTGTTTGCTTTGCCTCATATTTTTATGTCAAACTTGGTTGCAGAACTGCTTTATTTCTTCTCATTTCATTATAGTAACAGACTAAAGTAAATGAAACACTGAGTGAGATAACAGAGCTGTGCTCAAAACAACATAAACATAGCAAAATATTAATTTTTAAAAGAAACTCCAAGTTCAAAATGCCATACCATGGCAATAAATAGCTATCTATATGGAAACTTATCTTTCTCATCAATTTGAACAAAATGGTTTAAATTTCTGTGGATCCTTTCAGTTTCCAACCACAAAATAGTAATAATTTAGAAGTAATAAATACTTATATCCCTGTTTGTTACAGAATTCTGATTTTATTAATATAATGAATTAGGAAAAGCATAGTAGCACCTGTGGAGCTCTTAGACTAGATTTGAATACTGGCTCTGCTATATAATAGGTACTTCTTCAAATCTTAATTTCATCCTTTGCAAAATAAAGATAATACCTATCTCCAGGACTGTTATAAAAATTGATTAAGGTGGCTGAAAATGTGACTTATAAACTATTATGTTTATCTCCTTTTTTAAACTACTTTAAATAGGAAACCCATCTTCCTGATCAGAACTATATTTCCATAATTCTTCCACTAGCTCTCTTCAGCTTTCTACATCAAATGTAAATTTATAAACCTTCCTTTAAAAAGATAATTGCCTTTGTGTTTCCTTTCTTTCATCTTTTCCCCCATTCTGCACAAATACAGCCTATATCTGCATCTGCCAAATAGTTTTCTTCCTTCAGGAGTTCTATTACCCTACTCATTGAATATATATAATTTGAATTATATATATTAAAACATATATAATTCAAACTGTATTTAGCAACTACTTTGGGCAATATATTGGGCTAGATGCTAGAAATATGTTCCTCCAGGGTCTCACAAGTCAATTTGAATAGGCAAGCCATGCATTAGAAAAATAAGGCTATATAATATAGAATTCTATGTAAGTATATAGAATAAAGACAAAATAACTAATATATATGTTAAAAATTACTGAAATTCAGAGTAAGAAGAGAGAGAATGAGAACTGGAATTTATTTGGGAAGTCTCTACAGTAGAAGGAAACCTTAAGTTTGGCTTTGGAAAGGGTAGCATTTATATAATTAGGAACGTTTTTTAAAAGGAAGGGATGGTATAAGCAAGAAAGGAATGTGATTGGTTTGAGAGACACAGCATTTGGTTAAAGTCATGGAGGGCTTATGTTTCCACCATTCCAGATATTTTGCTTAATGTAATAGTGGCTTTTTTTTCTTTTCTCTCTCTCTCTTTTTTTTTTTTTTTTTTTTTTTTTTTTTTTTTTTTTTTTTTTTTTCTTTTTTTTTTTTTTTTTTTTTTTGAGACAAAGTCTCACTGTCACCCAGGCTTAGTGCAGTGTTGTAATTTCGGCTCACTGTAACCTCTGCCTCCCAGGTTCAAGCAATTCTTGTGTTTCAGCCTCCCAAGTAGCTGGGATTGCAGATGTGTGCCACCACGCCTGGCTAATTTTTGTATTTTTAGTAGAGATTAGGTTTCACCATATTCGCCAGGCTGGTCTGGAACTCCTGGCCTCAAGTGATCTGCCCGTCTCAGCCTCCCAAAGTGTTGGAATTACAGGTGTGAGCCAGTGCACCGGCCATGACTTTTATTATTATGATGATGCTATAAGGGAGGAGTATAAAATAAAGTAGAAGAAATAGCTGCGACAAGATTATATATACATTTTATTCTCTAAGCAATAAGAAAATATTGGTGGTAATTTATGCAAAAGTAGTGCTTTAGGAAAATAATTTGGGTTGTGCATGGGGAAATGAATGGGGAGAATTTGTATATAGGACTGAATGGGAGGCTGTGATAATAATTCAGTTTTAAAATAATGAGAGTCGAGACAAGGGTAGTGAGAGTGGGATATTAAGCAGGTAAAACACTGCTTTCTCTTCTTTCAAAACAAGCTACCTTATCTTTAAATCCCTTTACAGAATTCATTCCCCCACCTCCCAAGAGGTAATGTGGATATTTTAGGTTCTGAAAACTGAAGCAGTCAGAAAGAGAACTTACACAGATTCCTACTATCACCTCTACTCACACACTAGGAATCACACCGCATAGTCTGCCTTCTCAACTGCTACCATATATGAGCTATCATCTTCCTTCCTAACGCCAGTCTCTAAACTTACATACTTGTTTCTATCACCTCTTGCCTTTTTCTCACTCATTTTGTCAACTTTTTATTCTTACTGGTTTATTTCCATTCATATATGAACATGCTCATTTATCCCATATGAAACAAATAAAAACCTCTTGACCTTCCTTCTCTCACCAACTACTCCCCAGTTTCTCTTCTTCCCTTTGTAGTTAAACTCCTAAAGGGTTGTCTATATTTACTGTCTCCAATTCTCTCTTGAGCTTACTCTAATCAGGCTTTTGCCCTACCACTCTAACAAAACTGCTTTTGTCAAGGTCACCAATGACCTCAGTATTGTAAATTGCAGTGATTGATTCTCAGTCCTGATTGTATTTGACCTACCAGCAACATTCAGTGCAGTTTATCACCCTTTCCTCCTTGAAACACAGTTGGCTTCCAGGACACCACATTATCCTTATTTTCATCCTACCTCACACGTCACTTTTTCTTTCTCCTTTGCTAGTTCCTCTTTTCTCCCACCCATTCTTAGTCTCAAATGATGAGCTCAGGAGAGGAGGTATTAGGCAGTTGAGAAGAAGGGATAAAGTGTTAACTATTCATACAGGAAAGTAAGAAAATGAATGACTACAGAACTGATATGCTTGCCAGTAGCATTAAGGCCATTTGATGATGTTTTAAAACAAAACAAGTGGTTGTATGTATTTTTTTTTTCTGGCCACATTCATCTGAATCGATGCAAGCACCAAAAGCAATAGAAAGTTGGACTTAATCAGACTTGGGGTTTTGCCAGATGAATACAATAAAGCAAAAGAAGGGCAGGAAAATCAAAAAATAAGAGAGTGGTTATAATTAGTCCCCATGGAATTTAAACTGGGTATGTAGTAGAACCTCAAAGGGATGAGGGACAGTGAAAAACTGGTAGCATCAGTGGGTTGGGGTCTTTCTGCAGTAGAAGGATTGCTGGAATCAGGATAATAGAGGGATCAAGTTGGAAAGGTAAGAGGTGGTAGACAGAAAGTAGAATATGTGAAAGTAAGAGCTAGGATGGAGAACTAGGGGAAGGGAGTGAGATGCCTAGGGCACAATACTTAAGGAGAAGCCTATTCTATGGTTGGTACTTGTACAACACTGAGAGCCTCCTTAAATTTTGCACCCTAGGTGCTTCACTCACCTCCCTGTCGCACCCTAGTCCTAGTCCTGACTGAGAGTATGAAAGGGTTGCAATTGTTAGTAATGACAGTCTAGTGAATGACTGTGGAAGTGAATGGCTAAGGTAATTGTTAGAGTAAAATTTCAGAAACTCAGAGACTAGAATATTGGGAGGATCCTCTACCAATATATGGAAAATGCTGAAAATTTGCCAGGCATGTGGCTCACGCCTGTAATCCCAGCACTTTGGGAGGCTGAGGCAGGCAGATCACCTGAGGTCAGGAGTTCGAGACCAGCATGGCCAACATGGTGAAACTACCTCTCTACTAAAAATACAAAAACTAGCTTGCCATAGTGGTGGGCACCTGTAATCCCAGCTACTCTGGAGATTGAGGCAGGAGAATTTCTTGAACCCAGGAGGCAGAGATTGCAATGAGCCGAAATTGCACCATTGCACTCTAGCCTGGGTGACAAAAGCAAGACTGTCTTTAAAAAAAAAAAAAAAAAAAAGAGAGAGTGAGAGAAAGAAAAAAAAAAAAAAAAAAAAAAAAAAAAAAAAAAAGAGAGAGTGAGAGAAAGAAAATGCCAAAAATTAAGACGGGCAGATTTTGGGGAAAAAATAACTGAGCAATAGGTAAGTCACCAAAAAAATGAAAAGACATGGCCTGGGAGCTAGTAGGCCACAGCAACAATGAAGGGTAGTGGGTGATATAGTCTGGTTATACGAAATTCAAAATTGGGGATTTTAGGGAATAGAATGGGAGAATAATTTTTAAATGGCAATGAAGAGCAAGAAAGACACCTACTCCATCTCCAGGCCTAAGGGAAAGCTAGTGAGAGCAAAAACAGCTACCACTCGTAAGAGGGCTTCAGTAGAAGCAGCATCCTTGGCAGAAACCTAGATATCCATTAGAGCAAGAATGTGGAGGGACCTAAGTTGAGGGAAGAGGTTGCAACTGGTAGTGGAGATTTTGCTGAGTGGACTGAGTTTCAGAGAGCATAGTGGAAGGGTTAGAGGAGTTTGGGAGCGATAGAAAAAGAGGACAGAAGAGGAGATATATGGAGACTTTTGGGAATAGAGTGCTGGCAAAGACCTGACAATCTGGGGGTCTTTTGTTTACTGCCAATAAATGGAAACTAAAGAGCACAATAAGATTAGTCCTAGTGGATTAAGGGTAGTATTGGCAAGGCTTTGAGTGTTTGAATGGGTTTCTGGGGCTAATACAAATGTGTTCCATTTTTGTCAGTGAGTTGTATCTTCATTTTGCCATCTTGCAGTAGCTTTTTTGAGAATACAAAATGAACATGTTTGGATATTTTTCTTATCTTTAATAAACAGGAATATACATAACATTTTGCAGTATCACTTTGAGATATAATTTAACATATTTGTTCTTTTTAGAATGGACAACAAATTGTGGCAGAAAAAGCTTTGGAATATTTGGCTCAACGTTCAGAAGACCAAGAACAAGTTCTTACAGCTACAAAGTAAGTAACCTACATCCTGTGGAAGAGAAAGGATTTCCTCTGCTCTTGGTCGATAAACTCTGCCAAAATAGTGCTATTGAGATCAAGAGATCAAGAGAACTTTTACATAAAAAAGTGAGGCAGAGGAGAGTGAGGTTGGGATTTGATAAATATTTAATGGTATGACTGAGAGAATGCCACTGTGAGAATTGAGAAACCAGCAGGACTCTAGAGTGGTTCTTCTGTTAGTCAATCACACTTGAGGCCACATTTCCAAAGGGAAATGGAGTCACATAAATAAGAGTCAGAGGAGTCTTGAGATACTTGCATGCCTTCAGTAAGGTAAATATTTAAAAATCATTCAGGACAGACAGTATTTTTTAAAGCTTTTTAGGTTTTAAAACTTTACCAGCTACCTTGTTTTGTCCGCTTGTCATTATGCTGCTAGATCCCTTCAAAGAATAGTGATCTTAGTTTGAGTCCCAAAGGACAGTTCCAGTTTCTTTACAAAAAAAGACCATATATATAAAGACTGATTTACCATACTTGATGTTCTAGCAGGTGTTTTTGAGCAATGATATAAACTGTGGAACCATTTAAGAATTTGTTATGGCCGGGCGCAATGGCTCACGCCTGTAATCCCAGCACTTTGGGAGGCAGAGGTGGGCGGATCACAAGGTTAAGAGACTGAGACCATCCTGGCCAACATGGTGAAACCCTGTGTCTACTAAAATACAAAAATTAGCTGGGCGTGGTGGCACGCACCTGTTGTCCCAGCTACTCGGGAGGCTGAGACAGGAGAATTGCTTGAAGCCGGGAGGCGGAGGTTGTAGTGAGCCGAGATCACGCCACTGCACTCCAGTCTGGCACCTGATGAAAGAGCAAGACTCTGTCTCAAAAAAAAAAAAAAAAAAAAAAATAAAAAAAAAAAAAAAAAAAAGAATTTGTTATAAGCAACACTTTTGTTTTAAAATTATTTTATTAAATTCCTCTTTCAAAATTATAAAATTGGAATGTTTTCATTGCAACCATTAAAACAATAAAATACATATACATAAAATAAGATTAATCCCCCCTTTACCCTCTCTTCTCCCTCCCAGAGTAATCAAGGTTAATAATTTGGTATATATTCATTCACACGTTTCTTCCTAACCTAAGAATCACTTTCTATATTACTTTATCATACAGATGTTTGATTCATCTTGTTTTTCCAAAAATTGCTGAAATGCCGGAATCTGAAGATAAGTGAGTTATTTCAACAAAAATAATGTATTTGCCATTAGACAAATTATAGTAACTTACAATATAAACTGTATATTAAGAGATACTTAGTGTAGTGTGTAAGATCAACAGAGGCTTTGGGGTCAGTCTTCCTGGGTTCATATCCTGGCTCTGCTACTTCTTAGATGTGTAACCTTGGGCAAATTTCTTAACTTTTCTGAGCTTCAGTTTCCCCATCTGTAAAGTAGGAAAAATAATAGTACTTACATCTTTGGGTTGCTGTGATGACTCAATGAGTTAAAACTTCTAAAAGGCGAAAGACTTACGTGATCTGCAGAGAAACCAGAGTATAAGTTAATACATGTAAAACATTTAGAGTGTCAGGAAATTAATAAGCCCTCAATAATGTTATCTGTGGTAGAATTATGATATTGTATCTCTTGCCCCTTTCTTAACAGATAACTCAAATACAGACATATCTCTTACTTTCCCACAGAACATATAACCTGAATGGCTTGTTGGTTATGATTCTGTATCAGGTCAGCAGGGAGTATTCAAATATATTGCCGTGCATAAGACCAAATATATTTCTGTGCATTTCTTGGCATAAGATATTAAAACTTAACAATTGATAAGACTTAACAATTCGTTGAAGACTTTGGTCACTAATTTTTCATTCACAAAACTCACTACCTCCTGATTATTTGAGAGAAAACTCTGCTCAGGGTGTTGATTAGGGATAACTTTCAGAGAAGTATCAGCCATCTCTGCATTCTCTGCTTGGACAAGAACTCTGTAATAGTTCTCTCAACTTCACTTTTGCAACTGGAGGTAATATATTTTTTCAGATAAATTCTTTTGGAAATATCTTTGACTGAGATAACATAGGACAGATGACTTATAACTGTCTTTTTCATAATGCAAATTTTATCCAATTGCATTTTGTGTTTCCTTTATAGACTTCATAAATCCATTAGAAGGGAACTCAAACAAAACAAAAGATGAAGCAATTGGAATTTTGAATAATGACCAAATATTTACTGGCATTAAGAAATTAACTTTTAGACATGATAATTGTAGTGTGGTTTTTTTTTGAAACGATTGCTTATCTCTTACAGACACATCTTGAAATATGTATGGTTGAAATAATGTGATATCTGGAATTTGCTTCAAAATAATATTGGAGAGGAAGAAGTGGGTGGAGGTATCAAGGAGATAAGATTGATGAGTTAATAATTATTGAAGCTGTGTGATAGGTATATGGGGATTCATTATGCTTGTCTGTTAACATTTGGACATCTTTGAAGTTTTCAACAATAAGAAGCTTTTTAAAAAAAAAAAGACGAAACCATGATAGCTACTAGATTGTAAGAGTGCCTTGAGGGCTAGGACTATATTTGTATTTGTGTTCGTATCACTGAAACCTAGAGCAGTATCTGACTCACAATTGCCACTCAATTTATTTAAGTGGCTGAATATTAGTTATTTATAATATCTTCAGCACTGGAATTAAAGGTGCTTCATATTCCTCATAATTGTGGCATACAGTCAAACCACACACATTAAAACCAGTTGAGGAACAGAATAAGGGGGAGAATCCTGTTTGAATTAATGAGAAATTGCACAACACTTTTTAAAACATACCTTCATTGTTTTCAAGTAAATGTAGTAATAGAAAACATCCTCTAGCAACCTTTTCATGTAGAAGTTAGAACCTGATTTAACAAATAGATTAGACTAACTTGTAAAAAAAATTAAGTGCCGAATTCAATGAGAGGACTCAAGAGAATTGAATTATAGGTTCAGCTATTTCAATAACTTTTGGTTTACCATAGGCAATGGCAACTTATTTAACTTCTCGAAGCTTTATTTTCCTCATCTGTAAAATTTTAAAAGCTGGACTGGATAATTTTTAAAGGTCCTTTCTGTTCCAAAATTCCTGTGGTTATAGATGAGCAGTATCTACCTAAGTACTAACAACTCATATGCTAAATTTTTTAAAAGCAGTTTTTCCTCTTAAATAGATTATACATTCCTTTGTATGTCTTCACTCTTATTTGTACTGTATATTTTTATTACTGGACCCTTCCTAGATTATTTGATATGGAGTCACTGAATTAAATAGTGAAGAAATCAACTTTAGCTCAGCTGAGATTCCTATAAGTAAAATTTACTGTAAGAAGTTACTTTATATAAACTAGACTTCTAAGATTTATAGCTGAAAAATCAGCTACTTTTCCTGACCACGGTCTTTATTTATGTTAGACCCCTCCTGATAAGGCCAGTCTTACAGTATGTTCTACCCTTCTTACTGTAAACTTCCTTAGTTGAGTTTGCCAATACTTCCACGTTCATTCCTTTGTTAAAGCAAAATAAGCTGTTTTCCTCTGGTTAGTTTTTACCTCACTTTATTTTTTAAGTTTAATATTTCATTTTTTAGCTAAGTTTTAGGTTCACAGAAAAGCTAACAGGGAGGTACAGAGTTTCCCATATATCCCCTCTCCCCACCACATGCATAGCCTCCTCCATCCCCAACCAGAGTGGTACAATTATTACAATTGATGAAGCTAAATTGACATACATAATCACCTGATGTCCATAATTTATATTAGGATTCACTCTTGCTGTTGTACATTCTATGGGTTTAGACAAAGGTATAATGACATGTATATATCATTATAATATCAATATCATATGGAGTATTTTTACTGCCCTAAAAATTCTCTATGCTCCACCTATTCATCCCTCTGTACTGTTTCCATAGTTTTGTCTTTTCCAGAATGTCGTGCAGTTGGAATCATACAATATAGCCTTTTCACATTGGCTTCTTTCACTTAGTAATATGCATTTAAGGTTTCTCCGTGTATTTTTGTGTCTTGATAGCACTGAATGATATTGTATTGTATGAATATATCACATTTTATTTATTCATTCACCTATTGAAGGGCATCTTGATTTCTTCCAAGTTTTGGAGTTGTGAATGAAGTTTCTGTAAACATTCATGTGCAGGTTTTTGTGTGGCATTTTTAGCTTCTTTGGCAAATATTAATAACCAAGGAGGATGATTCCTAGGTCATATGGTAAGACTATGTATGTTTGGTTTCTGAGAAACTGGTAGACTGTCTTCCAAATTCCTGTGCCCTTTTGCATTCCTTCCTGCCAGCAATGAATAAGAGTCCTGTTGCTGCGTGTCCTCACCAGCATTTGGTGTTGTCAGTGTTTGCGATTTTGGCCATTCTGATAGGTATCCAGTGGTATCTCATTGTTTTATTTTGAATTTTTCTGACGACATATGATTTGGAGTATCTTTTTATATGTGTATTTGTCATCCTATATCTTCTTTGGTAAGGTTTCTGTTAAGGTCTTTGGCCCATTCTTTTCTCCTAAGGCTTTTAGGACCCTTGTGCCAGGAACCTCAAACTAAATACACTTCTAACTATACCACAGTGTAAAGATCCCTGGTGTTTGACCACAGATCCCAAATATAACAAAAGGATCATAATGGTTAAAAGACACTGGCAGATTACTGAAGTCCCATTCAGTCATTAAAAATTTGTCCAGTTCATCACATCATTACATCATGAAATTGTCTCCCAGGGTAAAGCCACTGAGGTTTCCAGGCTTCTATTTGGTCAGATTCCAAAAGCAGGAGTGGTCTCCACAATGTATGGCTTCACCTTTTCAGGATCTGGTATAATTGAGCTAAGAGACAATATCATCTTTTGCCCTGAAACTCTTGAGGTACTGATGTAATATTGGATTTCCCTTACTGCATAACTCATTTGTTCATTCCTTACTCTCATCTACTATTCCTCCTTTTTTTCTATTTATAACCAAACTTTTCCACATTTGAAAGAACGCTAGGTGCTGGTCCAGATTACAGGCAATACTAATCTAGCAAATGCCTCCCCCTCAGTCCACTCCCATTTATATAAGGTAGGGTTGTATAGATACAGAATTAGTGGACTATCTTGACCATTAAGCAATGCAGCTGCATTTACTCTTAACCCCACTTTTGCTAGATAGGGTAAAGACACATCCTGCCCACATGAGGCCCTTAGGAATTCTGACATAAAGATTTTAAAATATAGTTAGGTTTTTTGCTTAGGAATCAGCCCTGTTTCTAACACTTGTAGTTGCAGCCATGGTCTTGCTTATGTTTCATCAGGTAGGAAACATAAAGTTGAGCTGATATGAGAAGGAAAGAAAGAAAAAAGAAATATTGTCATCATACCAGTGTCCTATCCCCTTGGGAAGAATTGCAGTCATACTAGCATCCTTCCCCAACTCCTCTTCCTCAGACTCACCAGAAAAACAGAGGAGTCTATCTAGTGGGGACACTTCCTTAGCCCCACCCCCCATATTTAGTATGAACTTGTGAAGGCATGTAAGCCAGTCCTTCGTCCCTATGTCTGCCCCCATTTTAGACAACCAATGTTTCAACTGCCTGTTCCTCTTCTCTTTCTATTATTCTAAGGAGGATATATCTCTGCCCATTGTTGGACATTATGGGTTATAAAGTGTTTCTTGGTCTGAAAAACTGTGACTCAGCAGCCTAAATTGGTGCAGTATATTCTGTTCCAGTTCTTTTATTACATTCTGAGCATTTTCATCAACCACTGTGTAAGCAAAGGCCAATTCAGAGTTATTGTCTATTGCTGATGAAACTCATACCCTGGGGTTACCAGCATCAGTCTGACTTGCCAGCTGTCTTCAGGGCCTTCCCCCTGAGGAATCTGCCACATAGCCATCTTAAGTCTCTGTCTCTTTTGTTGGAAAACAGAACAGTTATTGGCATTTTGTGCTTCAGAGGGTACAAGAGGAGTACATCTAGGTTCAACCTATCTCTGTATTCCTGAGTTTCCAAATGGCCACTGATTTCATGGACCCAGGGGGCCACCTTGGGAGCACACAGGGATATCCACTTGTTGATTGTAATCACCTTCCAAATCTGGAAGGATATTCTTTTGATGGATATCAACGTGTCCTACATTAATCCACCCCTCAAATTTTCCTAGTGATTT